CCATCCCCCACAAGTCAATCAATCAATCAATCAAAAAAAAAAAAAAAAACGATGTGTTTTGAGTCTGGTCAGTTTTTGATTTTTTAAAAATAATTTAGATACTCAAAAAATAAAACTAAAAATATGGGGATGTAGAGAGCAAAAAACTCTACGCCCATATAGTTTTTGTTTTTTTTTTGGATGCATTTTTGCCCGCAAAAAAAATGTTCGCGGGCCCCGTTGTACCACGTTCTAACGCGGTTTCAACGGCCGTTGAACCTTTCAACGGGAAACCCCTGTTGAATCCAATTTCCGACACATAGATGGCATGCATTCCAATAAGACAGAAGAGCTCGCAAAGGTTGTCCAATCATTAGGGGAGGAGTTCAGTTGGGCGCATTTAATCAGTCTCTTAATTGCGCGTGCTCTAGTTTATTCCTTCCCGAGATTCCTACGTGTCCGTGTGATCCGACAAGGATCATGCCAACAATAGGGTGATTGGTCCGCCAGATACCTTAGTTCCGAATACGCATTTTCCCTAGACCTGATACCCATACATTCATCGACACTCGAGGACCATGCGAATTCCCAGAAAAACCGAAACGAGAAATCGACAAAGGTTCATGCATCAATCCTCGTAACCGAATAAGACCACATCGTCATAATCCAAGCTCACCGAAGCCATGCACATACAATCATCATACCGAATCTCAACAAATTTGCAGTACAAGCAAGAGTAAAGAGGGAAGATCAAGAAAATCACTGAGAAGGATAAAAAACAGAGATAGTCATGGGCAAAAAGATGGCTGACGCCACTTATCAAAACTACAGAGATGAGAGAGCTAAAGAAACCACCCCGACACGTTCTCTCTCAGTCTCTCTTTCTTTCTCCTCTTTACTTTGGATGCGGGCAGTCCGTTGCCTCGCACCAACACCGAGTCGTCACCCCGCTTAGTCCGAGCACGCAAGCTAAGTTCGCCCGTGCGCCACAGTCCTCGTGGCCCTCACGTCAACCCCGCTTACTTGGCACCAACTCGTCGGATCGCCCGACTCACTCTACTCACCTTCCAACTAAGTTACTCGTTAATAACCGATCCTCACTGACCGTGCTAACCTTCCAAACTCAGAGAGAGACAATTAATTGCGCGCGCAAAATTTATAGCATGCATGCTTGCGCGAGGAATATGCCAAAGTAGAAGACAGGATTAGGTGCCTACGTCTGCATGGCCAGGCCGTGGCGCGGGGGACGGAACCACTCTCAACGCGTTGATTCAGTCATGCAATGTGGGGACCAATTAGAACAGAGAAAGGGATGTGCATATACGGGCGAGGGTGAGGCGGGAACGAGGAAACACGAAGGACATCAAGAACAAGAAGATTACACTTGCAATTGCGCCCGCCAAAAAATTACAGTTACACGCAAGATTAAGGCGCATGGGATTAGAGCCCAGATCTCGCCGAGGCACGGTGCGCGCAAGCAAGATGCGTCGTGCAACCAGATTGCAAGGTACCTAAATTCCTAGTCTAAATCCTGAGTGCAAAAAGAAATTCCGAAAAAAAAAAATTATAAGAGCCCGCGGGGGCTCGACATTAGTTCAAAAATTCAAAAATGATATTCCCGCGTGACGATCGCGCCAAAAATTCCCTGTGCCGACAACAGAAGAATAAAAAAGTTATGGCAAGAATTTTTTGTCGCGCTCGCTAAGGCGCGGTCACCTAACTGCCTACGAGGCACTTTTCCCTGTACTGCCCAACACAATAAAAAAACGAAAAAGAAGCGAGGGCATCCATGCAACCCGCCCGACCGACCCATTCCTACGTACTTCACCCGACCAGCCCGTCCCGTTCCCCCCAAAGCAGCTTCGCGCAGAAAGTCACGCGATTACAGAAAACAGTCGTTACAACGCCGGCCTGAAACCCAGTGGTTGGGGGCGTGAGGCCCGGAAGAGCGTGGTATCTAGGATATGTGGGTTGAGGCAGCTGTAGGCTGGTCGGCTGAATAGCACTGGGGCAACGTGGTTTTGATTATATCGTCTTCCAGATTATCCTAATTCGTTCTCAATTTTCACAAACAATTTTGTTGTTCTCGGTTGCCTTTTGCGGTCTTGAGAATACCTTAGGATTCAGGGTACTTCTTGCAACTTACTTTAGGCTTCTTTGATGCTGTTATATTCATGGATCTGCGGTTTTCATTGCCAGAACGACGCTGGTGCAGGGGGGGTTGCCCTGTAACCCTTTTGGTGGCGGGATCGTGAGGCCTGGTAGAAAGATCTGGGGATGTCTTGGGGCGCGCAATCCAAGGGAAAACCAAGGGGTGTTGTCGACACGACACTGGCCAGAGCTAGGGTGAGTAATCTTGCCCTGTAACCTAGCAGGGTGGGGGCATAAGGCCTGGGAGAGCTCGAAAGGGAATAAGACAGTGTTACATAATTTTAGAGGGTTTTGTTAGGGATTCCCGGGTTCTGAGAATTCAAAGGACTTCTGTGGCTTTGCTTTTTGACTTAGTAACTACTGCTCAAGTAGCCTAGCGATAGGTCAGTAGTTATCCATGTCTTTCCTACATTTTCTTGAACTCCTCTTAGACTAGTTGTTCTCAGATTGTTCTTACCCGAAGCCGGGTAATGACCCTGGTATTTCAAAAAAAAAAAAAAAAGGGAAAGGGGGGGAGTTAGAAGTAGAGAATGGAAGGTAGTAAGGGGTCTCTCAACAGGGGAGGGGTTGCTTGCTAGGTAATTAGGTTAGAAGGATGACGCTGGGATGACACAGGACGGTGTTGGAGTTTTTGCTTTGTAACCTGGGGGAAACTTGAGGCCTGTGAAGTTATGTCGAGGGTGGAAGGCGTAACCAGACCGTCCGAAGTAGTCGGCGCTGGGGTATTAACCCTGTAACCTGGTGTTAGGGGCTTGCCGCTAAGGGAAATGTCGAGGGAGGAAGGCACTTCCTATCCGTCAGAACTAGGTTGGTTAGTACTGGGGAAGGTTGAGGTGCCATGTTACCCTAGCAGAAGGGGGTATGGGATCAAGTGAGTTCTTGTACAACGACTGGAAGCCTGGAGCGAATTTTCGTCTATTGAGGGGGGGAGTTTTGGATACTAGTAGGTGCGTTCAGTTTTGACCCTCCTCTCTCATATGTTTTCAAGCTTCTTCAGACCTTTTCTGCTCTTTTGTCTAATACGCTAGAAATTGTTCATAAAAAAAAAAGAGCCTAGGGCCCGGATAGTTGGGCCCTGGGTAGTGTAAGGTTGATACATCACGCACATCGATGGCAAGCCAATGGGAATGCAACAAACACTTGCAGCGTGGAGGGCTGCCTGGACGTGCCCAACTCTAAAGCGCCTTGGCCCGTAACAGCAAAGTTGGGCCTAGGCGCAAACACTAGGGAACGACAGGAAGCTATTGGAAACTCATCCAGCCAGGCCCACTCAGCCAGACAGGGCCGCGCTTTCCGTGAAGGAAATTGTCCTACCCAGACTTAAGATTCTGGCCTTTGTGAGCTTTGCGGCCACGCTGCTGCACTCCAACACGAGCAGCAGTATAAGCACAGTGAGCAGCGGGCACACGGCGACCATAATCGGGCTGCTAGGGCGCAGGCAGGTAATGGTGATGGTGGTCTTCGGGTAGGAGACGCATGCAGAGAGGGGGGACATTGGTGTATGAGGAGAGAGAGAGAGAACATACTTGGTGTATGGAGGTAGTCAACATTGGTGGTGACGTTACTTACATTGGTCTTTAACTTTGATGTGATCAGGTTGCATGAACGTTGGTAGATGCAGATAGGCTGGATGGATAGATTAGGCGCTGGGCTCAAGACACTAGGAGCTATATTGGGTACTATGTTGGTAAGACCAGAGAGCGCCAACATTGGCACACAAATTCATTGTATTGCTCTTATATGGATGGTATCTTGGTGCATTGTGCTCACTACTTGGTACATGACTATCTTCGCTGCTTTGTGATTTCACGATCTGGATTTCTTTATATCGC